ATAAAAAAAGAAAATAAAATAAATAATATATATTAATTAATAATTGTCTTTAAATAATAATAAAATAAAATTTAATAATAACAAAAAGGACAAAAAGACAAAAAAAACACAAAAACTCATAAAAATAATAATTGAAAACCTAATTAGGGGGTGCCGTTAGCAATGGGGTGGGGTGCCATTAGCCCACCCAATATTATATCTTCAATCGTTAAAATAATTGCATATCGTCACATCAGCAGTTTTTTAGGAAATGACGTAAGACAGATATGTATCAATTATGGTAAAGAAGCTAATTCAAGCTTTGTTTATAATCATTAGAAGGGTACTCGTGCAATGCATCGAGACACATTTCGATTTCAATGTTTTGTTTTGTTTTTTATCTATGTAGATATAATACGATTTTATGTGGTTTTGAGAAATCGATAATATTTTTATTTTTAAATAAAATATAAATTTGAAAATATCATATAAAATTTGCAAAAAAAAATATATCAACATTAGTATCAAATTAACTATTTAAAAGTTATTGTTTGTGTATTTTTTTTAATTCAAAATTTTTATTATAATTTAATTTAACGTAACGAAGTAACTTAATTTAGGTTTAATAATATATTTTTTATAAAGATAATAATTAAGTATTCTGTTAGAACTCAATAATTATCCCAATTATATTTTAGATTTTTTATATTTTAAAATGAGATTTTTATCCTTTATTTGATTATGTTTATCCGCAGTTAGTTACACGAATTCAAACATATAGCTTTAATAAATTGTACTTACGTATAATTTACTTGTAATATTGAATATTAAGTAATATGATCAATAAACAGTACTTCATGCATAAAAAAAATGGTTTTTAAGAGTTTTTGTCAAATGCTTTATAATATAGTATAGATAAGTTAGTTTATCTTTTAAGTTTATTGCAAAAATCGAGTTCTGATGGGTATAAATTAAATGGAAATTGACTCAAATAGTCATTTCATCCATTTAAATTGGTTTCTTAGTCATTCATTTTCCGAGTTTACCTAAATGTCACTACGTCTGTAATATCCACATCCGCAATATTGCGGACACTGCTAAAATCCAGAAAAAAGATTACCAAGTTCAAAACTCAGGGACGCAATTGCAACGGCTAGGTCTGCAATTGCGACAGTGACACTTGCTAATATGGTGGAATTTGATATGTTTTGCTTATTATTTCTTATGCAATTTAACTGTTAATTGTTTATTAGCAATATTATTTTATTATTTTTATTAAACATTTTTTTTATTTACTATAAATTACTTTGAATTATTTTTTAACCATATTAATTATTATTATTATTATTTTTAGCAATATCTATAATCTATATTTTTATATCTTTATCTATATCAAGGCAATAATCATGGATAATCAGGTGACAACTTCTAAGCATTATAAATTATTTTTTCCTGACATTGTTGTTTGCATCTCACGTTGGAATATAGAATGAAAGAGGCATGTGGGAGGTGGATATAAAAAGAAAAAGGACCAACTTTTTTTCTCAATATTGCTTGCATCTCGCATTGGATGATGAAATGAAAGTGGCAAAAGGGAGATTGCTGCAAAAAAAAAAAATGACTAAAGTGGAACAAATATATTTTTAGGATCTCGACCTTTTGCTTATGATCAAATATAGTACATGTTTTTAGTTAAACATATCTGTCTTGAATCTTGGGTTTTTTGTTTAGATCAAGTATATTATATGTTTTTAGTTTGATATCTAATATATGATTATTCAGCTTACTTGGTATTTTATTTTTTATACGGGAATGCCCATTATACTATTTGGTGATGTAGTTATTTATCTGTCGTCTTAGTGTTACTATTAGCAAATCTTGACGTACCTCTATAATTTACAATTCAAATAATTATAGAATGTTACTGTAAAGTGTAGTATTTGTTTTTATCAATTTAATATCTGATATGTGGGTCATCGACCGCACTTGATATTAATTTTATTGTTTTACAGGGAGACATCCATTATCGTAGTTTGGTGATGTGGTTCTTCATACATCGTCTTGAGCTTCTACTACTGTTGCTACAACTTACGCACCGCTCAAATTTTCACTAATATTATAGAATGTATTTTTCACAACTTTAAAATGATATTTCAATTAAATTTGTTCACAACTTTAGATGAGATTTCAACTAAAATTGTGATTTCAAGTTAAACAAATTACTAACATTAGTCAAACATTAGTAGAGTACTTTGCAACACTGTTCTCGAGCGTAATTAGCGAACTTAAATTAAAAGATGGTTCTAAGATTGTTGTCAACTTCTCTTAAAAACTTTTAATGTTAATGAGTAGTTGTCACACACATTTTCCTAAAATTTGTTTGGAAGAGTACTTCAAATTTTAGTCTATAACATTCATTTTAAAGATGATATTATCGTCACCGCACAACGTGCGGTTGCAACACTAGTTTACTCTTAAACCTAAAAACCGTACCTGCCCAAAATGGTGGGACCCAAAAACGTCACTAGCCGCATGATATGACGGTGATATCGGATGGAGAGGGAAGTCGTGGCATGCGTGAGAGCATCTTCAACAGATTTTTTAAAACAACGGTTTTAAAGATTTGTATTCTAACAGATTCTTTAAAATCTTCTCTAAAATGAAATTATAAAATGATTACATATGAATCTCACAAATGAGAATACTTGAAATTAAATGTATACGAGAGAGAAATAATATTTTTTTATAAGAAATATTGAATATTTTAATAATATAATTCAAATTGTAATATTCAAAATGGAAAAAACCGTTAAAAATGAATATAAATTTTCTTTGGAGATCTTGACCTTTTGATTTCCCATTTTGGAGAATCTCTTGGAGATGCTCTTAGGATTTTGCTATTTATTTTAGTATTTTTTTAATTTCAATTTTTATCTGGTATACAAGTTACTAATCATTTTTTTGGGTAATAAGGATGTATTTAATAAATTTTAGAATGTTTAATAATTTATTTGTTCAAAAAAATTGCTTAATGACTTAGGGGTCATTTATCCAAATGCTTATCCAGTAAACGCTTATTGATAGGAGTCAACACTATAATTTATTTTCATGTGTATGATTTTGGTAAGATCAAAACATATCGGATGCAATAATTTACTGGGTAAGCGCTTACCTGAGCAAGAGTCTCCGTCCTTTTCATTGCTTTTACTAGGTAAGATTCTTGGCTCTTCTCATATTCATTCAATGAGAAAATTTATCTGGTAAAGCACTTAACAAGTAAGTGTTTAGTAAACGACCCCTTAATCGTTAAAAATATGAAAGTTCATTATGTTTTTTTTTGAACTGCTATTTTTATGAAGTGGGCAGATAAACCTTGATTTTGATTCACATAGTTTGTTACAATTGTACCCTAAAGTGTCAACAGTTTTGCATGTTTTTAGTGTTCTTATGCAAAAATAATGACTTAGTTTGGTTTAGAAACAAAGAATCAGAGAGTTGCATGTGCCAAACAATTATTCGCTGGAAAAATAAACATGACATGTGCGATTAGCACAACTGTGTAACGTTTGGTTAGTGCTCGACATGATTATGTGGCGTTTGTGCTCAGATTTAGCATGGTCATGTGATGTTGAACATAACAACGTGAGTTTGGTCTTTGATTTGTTTCAGTCGAGTGAAGCATAGTGTAGTTTTGGCACGACCTTGGGAGCCCTGTTTTTAGTAGAGTCAGTACCGATTTCAGTCTGGTTCAGTAAAGCTATACAGATTAATTAATATTTGACCTACTGGGTTTAAATTGCATGTGGTCTTGTTCGTATTGGTACTTGTTCAGAATTAAATCAGTTCCAGAAACCTACACAATCAAGTGAGTCTTCATGTGACTTATAGTATATCAGTATGGGATACATGACCAGTATGATTACAGAATCTGTTCATGCTGTGTTACATGTTTATTTTAAATCGTTTTAGCATGCCTTCAGTAATTTCATGTATTAGTTTATGTTATATGAACCCATATTTTTAGTATGAATGTGAGAACACAAATCGAGACGTTCGGTTTAATTTCAAAAAGTGGTAGTAAACCCTAGTTTCAGTAAGGATCCGTACACATGACAAATCTCTGCCACTTAAAAGATCGTTTATAGAGCTCTTAGTTCAAAATATACATGATATGTGCATTAGTGATTAATCAGTGCATATAATGCTTTATGAAAATTTCCGTCGTGTAGGTGTTATTAGTTCTAAAATGGAGAAACTATTAGAATCAGCAGATTCCCACGCGTTACTCACCCGTTCGCCACTTTGTTCTCAACTCTTCTCACCTCCTTGTAGCTGCTGCGCCCGCCCCCTCTTAGTCAATGGGGCAAGAGGTTCGGCATCCCACTCCCTTCGCTTGTACTGCGCTCTACTGCTCTAAGACCCAACATCATAGGAGTAACCTTGAATGTAATACCTTTTTGCATTTTATTTCTCCATTTAAACCGTTTTTACAGGATCAGTTGGAAGATGCTGTTAGGGTTGTTTGGATGGTTTTGCATTAAGTCTTGTATGAATAAAATTATCTATATGAATTAATATGTCTGCATAGATTGGGAAGACTTTTGTTTGAGAGAGTTTTTTCATCAATGAAAAGAACATGTTTTTCAATTGGGAGATACAAGTTTGGATTTTTCTTTTCGACATAAAGTTTCCCCTTAGAAGTTTATTGAATAAGCCATTTTCTATATCATTAAGCCACTACCAAACAATCATATACATATCTGACCGAATAAACTATGAGTTCCGTTAATCTCATCAAATTACCAATAAGTAAAATTCCAACCTTTTGGCATTGTTAGTTGGGCTGAATAATTCTATATCGTATACCTCTCAAAATTTGGGCTTATTCTTGGACTTGGCCCATTTAAAAGTGTCTTAATATTAATCTTTTGGAATCCATTTAACGTTAGAAGTTAAAGGTTCAAACTTCATCAAACGTTGTCAAATATAAAAATTCATCAAATATGAAAAAGTCAGTGAGTATTACCGGTATATAAATATATTTCAAAAAACGTTAAATAGAATATCCAACAACGTATGATCGACATTGACGGGTCCAAAAATTTCTCGGTCTACAAAACCGTGGTCGTGACCTGGGGAAAGTGGACGCGGTTCGACTAGAGAAGAGTCAATTGGTTAGATTTAGGGAATAAAATACGTTTTTCAAATGGAATCGATCTTGATCTTTTAAAAATAAACATATGTTGCCTCGATAAATGAAGATGAGAAGCGATGATTTTTAAGATGAACTGGTATGGTGGTAATAACGTCTGTAATTGTATTGGAGGTTGCGAGTTTAATTTTTCCGACTATATTTTGTTGTTAATATTTTCAAAAATAGCATTTTTAGGGCTTAATGCTCTAAGCCGGCCCTCCAGCCGGAAATTAAAAGATAAAAAATTAAACTTTTACTTGAAATAAGATTCAAACCCATGACATATTATCTGTAAAATGTCAAATCCAACCATCACACGCATGCTTAATTTCTATTATAAATTTGTTTTTAAAGTATTTAAGGGCACCCCTCCATATAAAGCAGGTGAACCTTTTCAGACGCCAATTTCTTTTCTCTTGCAACTAGTTGTGTACCCGCGCAATGCGACGGAAGCCGTGAATTTTAACGATTTTGAAGTTTCATTGGTTTTATCAGAGAAGATTTAACGATGATATAAGTTACACTTGGTCTTTACATATTAATACAATCTGAATAAATAAGAGTTATGGTTCCAATTACAGTCTATCGATGAAAAAAATTGTATGACAGTTTAAAATCCAACATATTTAAACAACTCCACAAATGTGTTCGATTTACACCAAAAACAAAGAATCAAGAGATCGAGAGCGAGAGCGAGACTGAAAGCTCTAGAGCAATTGAATGAGAGATGAATGAGAGAACTTTTAATAACTCATGGTGAATTTAATTTTGAATCTCACCTTGGCGGATGTGAAGAAGACATAGAGGCATGAAAGGGTGAAGGCATGAGTGAAAGATGTCAAAAGTATTTTGGGAACATGAAAAGAAAAAGTAATAATGTGTATTGGTAACTTGTACTATATGTTATTTTAATTGTAGATTAAAAGATTTTAAGACTGAATGCATAAAATAGTAGTACTTAATGCATTATAAGTTGTTTTTAAGACTTCATGCACAAATGTATATTACTTTGTGCATTAAAAATTGTTTTTAAGACTTTTGATAAATTTGGTTTATAAGGTAGTATAGATAATCGAGTGAGCGGGTGCACAGAAGCCCGCTCTCCTCTTAATAGGTCTGCCTCTGTATTCGATGAAGCCGATTATTTCAACCATAGACTCAACTATAGATTGTTTTTCGAAATAAACTTTTCATCAAAATACCAATTGATTACAATATACAGTATCATATTATACGGGTTTTTATTCGGCAATGCCAAACATGAAACGAGCACGAACAATATCGACCTATAAAGATAAAACACGCTCTCTAGAGGGAGATCTAAGGGCCCAAATCCTTTCACATTCGTTATGTTTCAGATAAACTTTAGATCTGTGAAAAAAGTTACAAGATCTAACATCATAAAATCGACACAAATATTACTCTAAAGTAACGGTCGATATGGTGTCTGAATCATCAACCCTCCTCAACACAAATATTACTTTATAAAGTGAAAAAAGAAGAAGATTATTGACAAAATATACACAAAAAAAAGATGATGAAAATGGTTATAGCTTAATCCATTCAGACCCATCAATGAAGCTAAGGGAAAGAAAAGGCTTAGCTTCTTCATATGTGAGTTCTCTTGACCATGAAACTCTTCCTGCAAATGTTGCCCCTGGTCCACTACATTTGTATTGTCCATAATATACAGTCCTGCAACCGTACTTATCGTTGGTTAAATCGATCGAATTTAATAAAAAGGACATTTGTGTGGCACCCGCAATAAGCACTTTTAAGTGTTCGGATAAACAACTTATATCGGTGCCAAACCGGTAATAAGGAGTTTTTGAAGACGTTAAAACCTTCTGACTTATAATAAGTTGATAAGTGCTTTTATAGAAAAGCATAAGTTGTTTCGAATAAGCAATCCCAAACACCCCCTATAAATCATTGGTCAAAAGCACACATTAAGGAATCAAACAAGACCCTAAAAGTGGCAAGTTAGGTATATTGGTTTCCATATATAACTCATAAAGGGTATTTTTGTAATTCTATAGCTACGGGCCAACGTTTCATAATCATGTTTGACTAAGTTCATTCGAAACGTAGTCGTTTGGTCAATTTTTATGTTGTTTCTAACCATGGGCGTCTACGTCAACTTGTGCATACCTCGACTAATCCAATATGGCCCTGAAGCTAACATCCAGTAAAATCCCAATGACTCTGAGGAGACTTGAACTGGCGACCTATGGGAGGAGTCCAAAGGCCTAGCCTTTACTGGCCACTTGGGCTAGGCTGTAATCTATCCCCGTGAACATTACATAATGTAATTCTTCCTACTAGAGCTTGGTTCCAAAGATCAAAAGTACCAGGAGGTCTCAGGTTCAAATCCAAGGAGGAATAAACATCCCCTTGTGGCCACGGAGGTTCAAATGCGGTGACTCCGGGCTATCTGCAAAGCAGGTGGTCGCCCTGGGATTAGTCGGCTCACATAGCGGGTTGGATATCCAGGTTAATCAAAAAAAAAATTGTAAGTTTCGGCCATGAATAAATATTTGTTGCATACGTATCCGAAAAGACCAAATCCAGTGTAACATATAGTTTCCGAGGTATAACACATATGAGCTGCTATAATGCGATTGGTAACCAAGCTTTATTCAGCCATTTGGACATCTCAAATGGTATTTCTACACGTATCTGTTGGAGTCTAACATGAGTTAAACTTAACCATTTCTTCTCTATACACGTTGGAACAAGAGGCGGACCTAGACTTTTTTTCCAAGGGGTTTCTATTCGTTAGTTCCTTGCTTTTCCTGTGAGAGGCCATGTGTTCGAGTTTTTTATCCCCGAAATTCTCATAGATGTAATAAACCTAAAATTAAAAGGTAAAAACTAAACACTAAGAAAATGATACAAATGGGATTCGAACCTGCGCCTAAAAGGGGGGAAAGACCGTGCAAACCAACTTTGCCAAGAGAAACTTGTGTTGTCATTGTATTTTCAAGATATATACGGTGATACCCACTAAAATAATACGATGGCACCTTTCACGACTCTAATTTTTTTACACTACGACAAAGGAATGAAGTGGCGCCCGTGCCACCATATGCACCATAGTGGGTCTGCCTCTCGTTGGAACTTGGAACCTCCCACTCTCCACAAAGCTATTTTTTAAAAGTAATCTAATAAGGTTTCACGTATTGTCACAGTATCATTAGTTGTATATTTATTCCCCCCACTAACTTTCTTGGGATCTTGTGGAAACCATATCCATAAGAAGTAGCAGGCGTGCATTCTTGCTAAGTGGTACTCACTTTTGCATATAATTCAAGAAACCTAGACCTACAATCTTAAAATACAAAGCAAAACAAAAGGTGGCATTTCGTCGAACACGTAGAATGCATACAAGAAAAAAAGGGGGGATGAACCACCGCCCATTCCACCACCAAATTACCCACTGCAAAAGGCAATTCAACCTAACAAATTGGTCTCCATATATACATATATACTATTATATACTATACATATAAAGATGAATCCACTAAAACTGGTCTAACACTATCTGATATGGGTCCTATTTCTTAACAAATATATAATGAAATTGGACGATTACACATAGAAAGAGATACGGGAAACTTACATTTCACGATTCGGGTCGCCCCAATTGTACCATCCTTTAGGAATGATGATATTGTCCATATAAGTATAGGCAAAGACGACAGTGGAGAAAGGACCCCATGCTCGCCCGAGATAAAGTGCACCCGACCCGGTAACTTTACATCTCAAGAAGGAAAACCCTGTGTCTTCTAGTAAACTGCTCCTTCCTTGAGCTGTTACTGCCCCTGTTACTGGTGCTATTGCATGCACGTGACACCCCTGTGACCAACCCAAAAACCTGAAATTACAATATTGCCCTTTCCATCGAAACCCGCTTCCATGCTTTCTTTTCTTGTACCATGTGTAATAAGAGTTACGATAATCAAGGGTAAATTTGACTTTTTATTACGTGGGTAAGTCATTGGAGCTGAAAGTCTATGAAAACGGACAAAATACTTGGGATCATGTAACAACAAGAGTTTTTTCGTGAGACCTGTTAGACCAATTCTTAACCATTGGATTAGATCTACAATCTGAACATTCATAATCATAAAATTGCCACGAGACTTCTCAATAATCACAAAATTGTCACCATGCAACTTTAGACCATTAGATTATTAGCTTATAAAGTTGATCAATGAACATAAATTGGTCTTACGGGTCTCACGAACTATTGGTCTCACATGAACCCAACCCACTTATGTATTCGTTCGATACAACTAAATTTACCATACCTCAAAATTTGGACTTAATCAATAAGCTAAATTGTCTAGAACTTAGAATCACGTGAGACCAGCTTGTTTTCGTGAAACCTGTGAGACAATTTTTTTACTCTCGAACCTTCACAGCAAAAACATTGTGAAGGTAACTTTCACAATGTTTTTGCTGTGAAAATTCGACCTTTTTTTTTACCTTCATAGCGTTTTACACATAAATATGTAAAAAGAGAGAGAGAAACAGAGGATGAATTGAACCTCGAAAAGAGAGAGACCGTTGCCAAAAATGAAGTCCACCGAGCCTTCGATATAACACTCCTTGTAATAATGTCGACCCAAATGATCATAAAGCGTATCTTGTGCACCCAAAAATCGACACCCGACAAACGCTGCTGTGTCCGCCGATATTCTAAATGCCACCGCTTGCTTCCCTACCGCTCCCGGTGGCGGAACCGGTGTTGTGTTCTGCATGCATCACATACTTGTACATTTAGTTTTTGTATCGTACTTGCTTGGTATAATGTACAAGTCGATAATGCATACCTGAAACGTGATGTTTTTGGCAATGAAATAGGGGGAATTGACCGCAAAAGTGGCTGAACCAAAGGTGCCGATGGGCCGACCTTTTGAACCGATGGTTTGAGCAGTATCCCCCCATTGCACGATTGTTTTCAGAGCACCTGCACCTTCTATTGTTACGAACGATTTCAATGGCGGTATGTTTACCTTCTCCCTGTTTTTAAAAATTAAATAACAATTATTAAATTTTAGACACACACATATAGAGAGAGAAGCGATCAAATGCAAACCACCCATATTTGTACAAACCATGCAAATCACCTTCATTCGTCGATTTCATAGCTCAATCGTATGAAATTTTTTCATGAAATTGTTTTATATAATACTTTTTTTTTTGATGAAGTTGTTTCATATATGGTTATGGAATTGTTTTATATAATACTTATGAAATTTTAATAAATTGTTTCATGTATTTCTCTAAAATTAATATAATGAAGATGATAATATTCATGATTAACACCTTCCACAATAAACATGATTAATCAATCTCTCATAATTACAAAAAAGTGAACAAAATAAAAATTCATGATTGGTTGAATGAGGTTGGTACGGTTTGTACAAATAACGTGGTTTGCAAAGTAAACCTTATATATATATATATATATATATATATATGAATTTTCATTTTGTTCATTTTTTTATAATTATGAGATGTTGATTAATCATTTTTATTGTAGAATTAATCATGGATATTATCATCTTTATTATATTAGTTTTAGAGAATTGTATGAAACAACTTCATTAAAATTTCATAAGTATTATATGAAACAAATTCATAACCGTATATGAAACAATCTTCATAAAAAAGTATTATATAAAACAATTTCATAAGATTAAACAATGAAATCGACGAATGAGAACACACACACACACATATATATATATATATATATATATATATATATATATATATANCATATATATATATATATATATATATATATATATATATATATATACAGGGTTGGGTTCACGTGAGACCAACCTGTTTTTGTGGGACCTGTGAGACCTCTTTTTTACACTTGAAACTTCACATCAAAACGTTGTAAAAGTAAAAAAAAACCGGACCTTCACAGCAAAAACACCGTGAATGTTACATTTAATTCTTTTTTCTGTGAAGTTTCAAGTGTAAAAAATGGTCTTCTCACGAAAGTAGACTGATCTTACGTAAACCCAACATTATATATATATATATATATATATATATATATATATATATATTATATATATCCTTAAAAACACCATGCATAAAGAAACCTTGATCCATATAAAATTGATGCATGGGATTACATTACTTTTTCCCACATTTTGTAGTTAACACAAAAGACAATCAATAAGGCATTAAAAAAAATTAAAAAAAACCAAACCACTTTCATTTATTTATAAATATTAATATTTAATTTGATATATAATTATTAAAACATAAATTATGTACTAAAAAAATATAAAATTCAGGAATTTAATCAACAAAAAATCCATCTAATATTCAAAAAATTTATCGTGTCAAATAAACAAAAACATTTTTTTTCATAAATATGAATTGACAAAAATACCCACAAACTATATTTTGTCTTTATAGAAATTCTGCATGAACTACAAAATTCCCAAAAAAAAACCATGTCATTTTTGTGTTCTTCAATTCCCATTCAATCTTAGATCTTAACCGTGAAACGATTATCGTTTGTGTATCGATATACTTTCGATATTTACGGTTTTAGATTCGTTCGAAGAGAATTCGAACCATTTTGGAAAAACCCGTCATCGTTCTCGATTATAATTGTCTATAAATAAACAAAAGGACAGACTCGAACCCAAAATCTCCAACTTATCCTATCCGGGCTATCGAAATCTTTGGTCACAAAATTCCGACAAGACTCAGAGCAAGAAACCACTTACTTGTAGACTCCGGCATGAACCTTGATGACAACTCTAACAAGATTCACAAAAGGGAGCGAATCAATAGCTTGTTGAATGGTCGTAAAGTCTCCGGTGGCCGGATTCTTGTCGACAGTGAGCGTAAACGACGGAAAAAGCTTGTTCTTGGCGGTCGAGAAAAGGGAATGCTTTAAACTCCCGACGAAATTGACCCATTTCATGAATTGTTGTTCCGATTGTTGGGTTTGTGTCAAATTTACCCCCAATTGCTTCCATGTGTTTCTTTTTGGTTTCAAGCCTTTGGAATGGCAAAGGGTTTGTGTGGTGGCATCAAGAACAAGCAAAAGAATGAGAAGAGAGCAAATGTGCACAAAATTTGCCATAAAAAATGCACAAGAGAAAGAATGTTGGGGTTTGGAGGACAAAATGGAACTTGGTTTGGAGTTGTGAAGGGGTTTATGTGTGCATTTATGGAACAATTGGTAGAAATATAATAACAGATTAAAAGGTATAGCAGTTGTTTTCTATTTCTTATATATACAGATCGTTTACGTATCAATATGTTTTTTCTTTTAAAGTATATAATATTTATATATAGTAAAATAGAGCAAATAAACTCACACACCTTCTTCACTTTTGGTAAAGTTTGAACCTCTGACCTTTCTAGGAGGCCAAAGACTCACATACCGCTAGATCAAATGTTCTTTGGTTATGGTTATGTAACAATATATTCTCGTATGCTAATCAATATTAATTTTTGGGTCATTTTGTTTCGACTTAAAATCATAATTAAACTGCTCGAGTTTTGGCAAATACAGTTCTTCTGTGTTGTATCGGGATAATTAATTTATAATAAAAACTAATAAAAATTAATGTAATAAAATTGAAAATTAATGTAAAAGGATTAGGGAATAATGAGTCACGGGTGAGACCACCACTGACATTTATGCAATCACAGGGATGGATTGAAGGCCACAAGTACACCTACCCTACAACTGCACTTTTCTTAATTTTTTTTAAATTAAATTCTAATTTTAATTAAAGTTTACGTAAATGTCAAACGTTAATTCAATTTTCAATTTAAAAAAAAAAAAGTTTTTGCGTTGATCGGGTCGAAGACATTTGAACAACTCAATTTAATGCTTGCGGTTTGAAAAATCTTAACCCAACCCAAAGCAAAGTGCAATCCAAGCCAACTTAAAATGTACGGGTTGGTCGGGTTGATACTTTGGTACATTAAAATATTTTTCTAAACTTAAATATGTTTTTTCTCTACTCATAATTTATTTTTCGTCATCAACCATTCGATACAACTTATTCATACTTCTTAATTCTTACGTATATCACGTTCAATTAATTTTCGCAATTTACATATATATGTTCACAGTTACTGAACATATATATGAATGTGTTATATAAAGATGAAGGATAGATTGAAAATATATGTATATGAAGATGGTACACGATAGTGTAATTGTCTAATATATATATAAATAGAAACTCAAAAATTATATTAAATCCAAGAAATACAAGGATATCGAATTGGGTTGGGTTCAAATATTAGTAACTCAATACCTACAGTTTGAAAATTTTACAACTCGATTAGACATTGGGTTTGCTTCGGGTTGGTCGGGTTTTTGAGCACCCCTATGTGTAAGGATTGAAATTAGTCGTAGAGTATCTACGTAAATTTTGGCTACTTGAGAAGAGGCTCTGAAAAGTGAATTTGGTTGACGAGATTGACCATTTTAGTCACTTTCTCTTTCCTTTTCCACGTATCTTCATTGTTTGATACTGACATCTTTGATCTGTTAAATTTACGGGTTTTATAAAACGTCTTTTTCATATAAACCGCAGACACTTCGTTTTTCCGAGATCAAACATGACCTACGCTTGAGGAAAACTCGAATTTCAGATATTTTTGTGAAAACCGTAGGACGATAACCGGTTTGACATGCTTTTTCTTTTCCATATTTATTTGTTGATTGAGTTGTTGATGGGTTATGGTGGTGCCCGTGAACTCTCTACTTTTTGTATTGGGTGTCAAAACCCTTTGTAATAATATTCTTTCATCACTATAAATAATCATACATGTGATTTTTTCTGTTTTTATACAGCTTATTTCGTAGTTGCTTAATGGTTTGATACAAAATGATTAAGAGATTCTAATGATATAAAATGAAATATAATTGTTTGGTAACTGTTTACAATGAAATTAGGGCGTTGAATGGTTAAGTGAGGCCCATGACGTAAAATCATTCAGAGAATTTTAGAACTATTAAGAGACATATATTTTTTATTAAACAAGATTGATCTCTTAACGATTCAGAGGGTGTTGCTTAATGAAACTATTAAGAAGTAAACAAACAACCCCTAAATCAATCAAATTTATCATAAATTAGAGTATGTAAATATATGATTTAAATCTGATCAGACAAATTTTAAGATTAATTTTGAGTATGCCCGTTTGGATCAAATTATCTGTTGTTTTTAAGAATTTTAGTATATTTATACCCTCATGTTATGTTAACAATAATAAAGTATAAGTTCTATAAATTATCTGCAAATGTTTTTGTGTCAGTAATTTTTCAGACTTTCTTAACTCAGTTGTTACAGGTTTTTATGAGGACGAGATTTTGTTTCTAAGGATGACAACAAATTTGTAAGATATGCGGTTGTGTTTCTTGTTTGTATCAAAAGACGATAACTCTTTGTATACCAGTATAAGTCATCGTACACAGCTGTCGACATCCACCTACAAATATAACATATGGGGTTGATTGTCCCTACCTCAAGCACTCGAGTTTCCCATGTGAAGTGATCGTACATTCAGTTAACCCAATAAACTTGTGTACAGGACAATTTCGCTAAGAATATATTCAGGAAGTCACGCTCAGTTATACGTAAATAAGCAAAACAGGCAACAAAGATTTAACTTTTACAACTGAATCTACAAACTCACAAAGAGAATCATATTACTAAACCAAAAAAAAACAGAAGCGCCTGATTTCGACAACTGTTTCAGGTAAAACGTTAATGTCAATCATGTTTATCATAAAATATAAGTTAGAACGGCGATTCTTGTAAAACACTGAGAAAAATTCTTTTTTGGGTATGCACATGGAGTTGTTAGTTCTTTTTGCTTTTTTCGTTCAGTTTGAAGGTAATATACAGAGGTTTGAGTCATTATCAGATACAAAATAACGTCAGTGTTTTTATTTAATTTTGAAAATAATAGATTAAGAAGGGATTTGTATGTATGTTATACAATAACTATAATTAGAGTATGACTTTTGCAATCACATTCCAAGACACAAAAGACACATTCTCTCTTTGGAATCACATGAATAAACCTTCACATGTGAAGACCCAAAAGGACAAGGAGAAATTTCCAAAGCATAAATCATCAAACAAGTGACACGTTCCTCTCTTGATTGCCTTTTCATTTATTCCTAAAATTCCATAAATAATTCTACATGTTTACCATATATATATATATATATATATATATATATATATATATATATATATATATATATGGGCATGTTAAAATGAAAACCGTGCATTTCTAAGAAATCGTGTAAACTAATTTCGACCAATAGAAAAAATCTATTTTTTTCTAATTAAATTTAATCAATAAGGGTATTTTGGTCATTTACAATATTTTCTATTAAATATGGAAGTTATTAATAAATCTTAATTAAGGAAACGTAATAAAGGAAATTGTATAAATGGTAACATTTAAATATTTAATTATATTATAATATTAAAAATTTAAATTTGATATATTGTTATGAGATTGAATCTGCAAAGGGGTCTTGAAGATTGAATTGCATTATGGAATGAAATCGTAAATTATGGTTCAAATTAAAAAAATAATGTTAATGAAATWGGTTTCATGAAGGTGAAACTGGTTCATGTTGTAATTGATTCATGAGTAATATRARATCGTTTCATGGTGAACCACGTTTCAGTGATGGTGTAGTTGATCCGTTTAGTAGGAAAAATGGAACATGAAACGGATGCATAATTTATTTGGTTCGTCATGAAATAATTGCATGATGAAACGGGTACATGATGAATCTGCTTCGGGATCTTGAAAATTGTAATCTACTCCAAAATCTTAAAGATTGTAAGGATTAAAGAAAAGAATGCATCAAATCATGATTGAAATAAAAAAAATTAATTTACATGAAACAGGTTTCATGAAGGTGAAAACTGGGTCATGTTGTAATTGATTCATGAGTAATATGAAATCATTTCATGGTGAACCATGTTTCAGTGATGGTGTAGYTGATCCGTTTAGTAGAAAAAATGGAACATGAAACGGGTGCATAATTTATTTGGTTTGTCATGAAATAATTGCATGATGAAACGAGTACATGATGAATCTGCTTCGGGATCTTGAATATTGTAATCTGCTCTAGAATCTTGAAGATTGTAAGGAGTAAAGGAAAGAATGCATCAAATCATGAGTGAAATTAAAAAATTAATTTACATGAAACAGGTTTCATGAAAGTGAAACTGGTTCATGGCATAATTGAACAATGAGTGTTGAACTGCTTTAGTGATGAAACCCGTTTCAGTGATAGTGTAGGTGATTCATTCAGTAGATGAAATGAAAAATGAAACGGGTGCATAATGTAGGCGGTTCATCATGAAATAATTGCAAGATGAAAAATAAATTAGTTTCATTAATAATAATAAATGTTAACGTAAAAATAATAAATTATTTTACAAAAAATAGATTAGTTTCATTAATAATATGATATACATGATATGGTTTCCTTGAATAAATGAATATTTGGTTTTACCCTTTTACCCTTATATGTATTATAAAATGTATTTTCAATTTTTTTTTTTTTAATTTCCTTAAATAACCTTGATTAATCTTAACCATTGATCAAGAAAATGGATGGGTGAGAATGGTTTACACGGTTTACACAAATGAAGACGGTTTTTTTATTTGATCGCTCCTATATATATATATATATATATATATATATATATATACACTATATTATAATGCATTTGACATAAGTTCTTAAAAACCATTTTTTATGTATTAAATACTGTTTATTGATGCATATTACTTAAAATTCAAGGTTATAAGTAATTTTACATATGCACAACTTATTAAAGCTCCATGTTTGAATTCGTGTAACTAACTGCAGATAAAGATAATAAATACTAAATATGTATCTCATTTTAATTATAAAAAATCTGAAATATATTTAGGATAATCATTGAATTCTAACAAAATATTAATTATTATCTTTATAAAAAATTATATTATTAAACCAAAAATAAATGACTTCATTATTACATCTAATTAAATTATAATAAAATTTTAAATTAAAGAAATTATACAAAAAAAAAACAAAAACATTTAAATACTTAATTTGATACTAGAACTGATACATTTTTTTTCAAATTTGTATTCTTTTCA